ATATAGAGTTGGCTTGATTGTTGGGTTTTTTTGAGTTAAACAGGTGCTTATATTTATTGATGTAGTTGTATTGGCACTTACCCATAATCAGTTAAATATGAAAAATTCATTCTGTGCTATACAACATGAAAAGCTGTAGTCCCTCCAGGTGTTTCTCTTGGAAAGCTGGCTGTAAGATTTTTGGCACTATTGTAGCCATTTGTTCCTAGGACGTATTGTGTAATTGATTTTTATAATAGAATGCATTACTTTGTGTTTTTTGGGAAGCGGGAGCTTTCAAACAAATCTGTATTAAAAAATTCTTGATGGGAGCTTGAGGTTTTGAATCCGTAATTCTTTCTTTTCCCCCACCGCATGATTTTCTGTGTTTGCTTCTTTCTCTTTACAGTACCAGGCAATTTGCTGCCTGTCACAAATCCTGGGATTGTGGAAATTTCTGAATGAATTGATACTGCTGTGCTTACATAAGACATTAGGAAACAATATCTGGAGAGTTATGGGAAAGGTTCATACCCTGCAAATTCTTCATAGTGATACAGAATGTGTAAGATGAAAAGTAGTGAGCTAGACCTGCTGTTAGATGTCCTGGGAGCATCAGGGGTCAGCTGGTGAATAACTCCTCACCTCCACAGTTGTTTCTTGACTGCTGGTTGTTCTTGTCTCCTCTAGTTCCTCATGACTGTTATAGATTGGGTTAGTTTACTGGCAATGCTTGAATCTCAGACATGAGACCCAAGTCTGCACGGAAAATACAACATTCTCTGTTTCCTTCTTGATTTGTTTCCCACATCAGAGTATTTTGAACAAGCAGAATTTATTGGATATGAGTGCAGCAGCATATCAGCCACACAGAAGCTGTGTTGTGATTTTTTGTAAAAACCCAATGAAAGGTGCTTGTCTTACCCCTGTCAAAGTGTGTGCCCTGAGTATAAGAGAGAGTATGAGGCATAATTGTTTGAAGGAATTAGTTGCATTACTACCAGATTGTTCATATGCAGACAACACCAAGTTGAGTGGGAGTGTTGATCTGTGGATGGTAGGAAGGCTCTGCACATGGGTCTGGACAGGCTGAATCAGTGGGTTGAGGTCAGTGGTTTAATAAGGTCTATTAAAAATATCTTATATATCTTGAGAATATCTGCATGGGTGGATTTGAATGATTGGAACATCAGGACTCTTTAGCCTTTCACACCAATAATTTCTTTCCTTCAGGGCTCAGTTTTTCCTTTATATGTATTCATGTCATAGTTACAGTGTCAAGATTTCCCTTAACTGCATTTTAAGTGGGGGAGGGAACTTGTTCCTTCTTCCAACCCAGCAATGCAAACATCTAAGTTATGAGTGTGTGATTCTCATCAGAATAATTCTCTTTTGCTGTGGAAGTGTAACCAAGTGTATACTTGTTGAAAACAAGTAATTAACTTCCTTTTCTGTAAGAGCTGTTGCGAACTTGTCCAGCTTCCTGGCAAGGACTGGTGGGGTGGTTGTTTTTTTTGTTAACTAGGAGAGGTTTTGCATCTTTCTTACCACATCCAGCCAGCCTGTTCTGGCCTGCTTTAGAAACTTCCTAGAAGCTTTTATAAGATGCAAAGACCTCGTCAGGTCTTGATGTAATTTCTGAGGTAAACCCTTGTCCATTCCTTATGGATGAATGGATTTCTTTCCTTTGCAATTAAAATCAAAGAAATGGATATCAAGCTTTATAATTTGTTCCTAGTAAATCAAACAGATGGTAGGAAGGCCAAATTTATCTTCTGGTTAAAAAACAAGAAAGTTGCAATAAAAAAAAAAGTCTTGCAATTTAATTACCATTCCAGTTATCTTATTTTTCACTTAGACACCTTCTTGAATTATTTTTTTAGGAACAACACTGTTGTGTTGTGCAATTAGTAACATTCATAACATTCCCCAAACACACTGACCTATTCAAATGAGTCCAGAGGAGGGTCACCAGGATGGTTAGAGGGATAAAGCACTTCCTCCATGAGGAAAGGCTGAGAGAATTGGGATTGTTCAGCCTGGAAAGGAGAAGCTTTCAGGGTGACCTAATTGGTGTCTTCCAGTACCTTAAAGGAGCCCACAGGAAGGATCTAGGGGGATTTTCTACATGGGCATGTAAGGCCTGGTCAAGGGGAAATGGCTTCAAACTGAGAGAGAGTAGGTTTACATTGGATATTGGGTGAAAACTCCTTCCTGTGAGGGTGGTGAGGCACTGGAATAGGTTTCCCAGAGAAGTTGTAGATCCCTGTGAGTGTTTAAGCCACATTGGCTGGGGCACTGAGCAACCTGGTCTAGTCAAAGGTGTTCCTGCCCCTGGCAGAGGAGTTGGAACTATGTGATCTTTAAGGTCTTTTCCACTCCAAGCCATTCGGTGATTCTGTGAACACTGCACATCCTAGATGATGTTAGAAATGTAGATTTGGTTGGTATCAGTAGAGGCAGAGCAGAGTTTCTGAAGTTCAAACGTGCATTGAAAATAGAGAATCTGTGTTTTAAAGAAATACACAGAGTGAAACTTTTCCCGAAACTAATAGGCGCTGGACATGTTCCAGAGACAGTTCAGTTTGATAAAACTGGTCTTAAGACAAATGGGAACTTTGCACTGCTCTGAATTGGAGATAGAACTGGTTTTTAAGGGCAAACAAAATAAAAGGAATCATTTAAGGTGTTCTCCGGAAAGGAGGTTGCTGGCTGTACTCAGATTTTAAAATTAAACTCTGCTGCAGCACATAATCTAATTTTTGGCCTTTTAGGAAGCTGTACTCATAGTCTTTGGCCAAAATTTAACTCCTAAACATTTTTCTCACTGAAATGATTTGTAATCCTTCTATAAAGGAGAATATTGTTCACAATTGTAGCATTTCTGGTTTTTAAGTGATTGGAAAAAGCAGGAAATACAGTCTTTACTTTTATTATATATTTACCTGCTGTAGACTTAAAATGTACAACTGTTCAGTGACCCTGTTTATAAGGTGTGAAGTTACTTTTGTCGTCCTTAATGGAAATGTTGTCAGCAGTTTGTCTGTAATGTTATTTACTTGGCCTGTTTCTGTAGTTTTTCTTTGCAGCATGTACATGTGCCACAATGAGGGGAGGGATCATTTACTTAAAACCGACTGAAGTAATGTCCTCAAAGTTGTGGTTATTCTTCTCATCACAGGTTTTATAATAAAAGATCAATCGTGTTCTACAGCTTCTGTGTTTGCACCTTCCCCCCATCTCTCTCTCCCTCCCTTCCTTCTCTTAATCAGAATTGGTTTTGGTAAAGATTTGGATAGCTGCTGTTTTTTCTTACTTCGTTCTGTGTTAACTTGGTTCCTCAATTTAGTTTTTTAATTTCTTACATTGTTTCCTACAATACCATCTGATTGAAATGTATTAACTTGCTTGGCTGGGTAACTATGATTTTTTAATGAGGAGATGGTTGTTGAGTATGAGTGCATATCATCTTTTATGGTCTCAGTTCCAGACATTCAACTGGTTGCAAGAAAAATGTGGGTGTTTGAACATTTCCAACGGAAGGGTAGGGCGGGTGGGGAAGCTTTTTGGAATGCTGATGAATAATATTTGACTCTTGGAAATGCCTTAAGGCCACACACTCCCCTCCCATGCTTTAAAAACAAGTTTTAAAGACATGTGGTCTTGAAGGTATCACCATTGTGCTTTATTTCCTTTCTAACTGACTGGAAGTGAGAAAAGAGTTGAAGTGCAGATGATGGACACTGTGGGTTAGTGCAGGAGTACTCTGCAGATGGTCCTCTTGGTTTGTGCCCTTGCTACTCTGTCTGTGACATAGTGCACTAATAACCTTGCACATTAGTCAGAGGGCTTAATTGTGCTACTTTTATTTCCTAGATATAGTTAGTTTTAGAAATTTTATAGCTTTTGAGAAGTTAAGGTCTCTGATGTCTGTAAGCATAGCAGAATCTGCCTTGCAGTAGAACATGGAACTGCAGTAACTTGCAGTTCAGTCTGTTTTCAATAGCAGAGTGATAATTTATAATAGTTTTCCCCCCAATGTCTTTTTACAGTATTTGAGTCCAAAGCAGAGTAGATACAGATTGGATTGTTCCCCCAATGTTGTGAAAAGCAGATACTCACATCTTCTCACTTTAGTGGTTGTGGTAAAACATGTTCTTCCTTTGCATTTGCAGACACGATCAGCTGTTACCATGAGATGGTATCTTCTTAGCTTGTTATAGGCTTTAACAAGCACATGTGTTTTACTCTACATTACTCTTGTTACTTTCAGTAACATAGTGATAGTGATTTGTTTTTTAAATAAACGTTTCTGCTTTATTTATTTCCATCTTTGATCATTTAACTGGTGAATTCTCGTTGCCTGTATTCACACCTGCTCATCTCTCTGTGATGAATGTTTCTAATGAAATAAATCAGTCTTGTAGTTTGAAAGTAACTTTGGTTTCAGTTACTTCTTACAGGTAGTAGCTGTTTGACGGTTGAATGCAATGCAGCTGCTTGGAATTTTAGTTTGATTCTCTGCCAACCAACAAGAAAGTACAACTTAATTCCTAAAAACGCTTGAGCTATAAACTGTGAGTCATGACCTAGCATGCATATACTAATAAGAAGCTTAGAGGCTAATAGAGCCTACCTGAAGGGAGCCTACAGGAAAGCTGAAGAGGGGCTTGTTACAAGAGCATGTAGTGACAGGACATGGGGGAACGCTTTCAAACTGAAAGAGAATGGATTTAGATTAGATAATAAGAAAAAATGCTTCCCTGTGATGACAGTGAGGCACTGGAAGTTTCCTAGAGAAGCTGTGGGTGCCCCATCACTTGGTCTGTTCAAGGCCAGGTTGGATGGGGCTCTGAGCAACCCGATGTGGTGAAAGGTGTCCCTGTCCACAGAGGGGGCTGTGACTTGATGATCTTTAAAATCCCTTCAATCCAGGCCATACTTTGGTTCCCTTATTTTGGTGGCCATGCAATGCATGTTGTAACAGGTCAGTAATGTATTCTGTCACTGGTTTTGTGCAGCCCACACATCATCTTCCTGTCCCAGAGTGTCCTACCAGGAGGGAGCCATCTATGTGGAACTCGTCTGTGCCATGAGATCGCTCATGCTTGGTTTGGGCTGGCCATTGGTGCTCGGGACTGGACTGAAGAGTGGATCAGTGAAGGCTTTGCCACTTTTTTAGAAGATGTATTTTGGGCTAGGGCACAACAGGTAAGGTGATGGTACATTGTTTCAAAATTGAATTAACGTGGAAATCAAAATTATATACGTGGCATGCATTAGAGATAAATTAAACCTCCTCTGTTGTGAAGAAAAGTATTTTAAAATAATATTAGAATATGCATGCTAACTTGATTTAAAAAAATGTGATCCACATTGAACACAAATCTTCATGGTGGTAGAGGTCAGTGCAAACGAGAATGGAAATGTCTGTTTGTCAGTTATTACCTTTCCACAGATGTACTACTCAGTTATTAAAATTCAGCTATCAAACAATGGCTCTGCATTGTTTCCACTTATATGGTGTACCTGAAGCTGGAACAATCAACAGAGTCTTATTGCATATTGTAATATTCCAGGTACATAATGAAAATGTTCTGTTTTGTCCAAGGGATGGCCAAGAAGTTAACCTCAAAGCAGAATGGAAGATGATTTAAAATAGGGAACTTCACTTTTTTTTCTCTTACATGCCCAACAAGAGTTACTCTCATGTCAGAGGCTTAGAAATTGTCGCCTGCTTAAGGTGAAAAGCTCTTAAGTTACCTGTCAGCTTGTGAAGTGTTTTTCTGGTGCAGTTCTTACTTTTGTAGTACCTCTGCTTCCTCAAGCATTTCGTGTGTCAGTCATTTCTTCCTGTGGCTGTGCCAGGTTCTGCCCCTGAGCTCTGCAGGCTTCCACCTGAGGAGGAGCAGGCTGAACTGGGATCTAGCACAATGCACTCTTCCATACCTCCATGTTATTAAGTATCAGGCAACTTACAGCACCAAACAAAACGGAAAAAGAGAGGCTGTCCAAACATGTGGCTTTTCCATTTTGGTTCCAAAACTCATTTGTACCCTTGCATTGAGCATCACTACACTGCTGTGAGCTGTTACATGAATTCTTTACTTTTGTGAGTCACCTGAAAGCATTTTGATTGTAGTAGACACCTTCCTTGTAGCTGAATGGAAAGGAGTAAGCAACAAAACAGTGTGATGAGTTCCCTTGTTAATGTATAAGGGATACCTTTTAAACATTATTGAGTAGTTTTGAAGCTATTCAATCATACAATTTTAGGATTATGAGTATGTTCTATAGTGCATGACAGTAATTTCAGTTGTGACTGAATGTAATTCAGGGTAGTATTAGCTGCTTTTGCTTTCTCTCATCTCACAACTATTCTTATAATAGAGAAACATGAATTAGTATTTATTTGTCAGCTGACAACCTGGCATTTATTTCATAAGTATGAATCTCTGTTAATATTACATAAATGGGGGAAAATACCACAGGAGCTTTCACAAGTGTAGCAGGAATAGTAGGAAAGAGGAATGAAGTCAGGACACAATGCAGCTCTGAGCTTTAAAGCTGGGTAAAGATGCCATAAAATCCTCTATGCCAGGTACCTATACTGGCGTATATACTGGCAACCTATATTCAGTTCATTCATTGCCAGTCACTAAAGGGAAATCAACATGCTCATCTCTCTCCTCAGTCAGAACTATTTAACAGTCTGTTGATTTGATGTGCACAGTGAGGGTTTTGTTTTACCTCGTGGTGCTGTTAACTCTCATAGCAGCAACCGTTATTTTTTGGCTCTTTTTTTTTTTTTTCCTTTTTTTAATAATTGATATTGGTATGTTTCATACATCTTCTAAATATTAAAGAGAAACAAAACAAGTTTCTTGTTCTGAAGGTTGTTATTGTGTGTGGGGAAGCAGCACTCAGTGCTCTGTGTGTGTTTGTGTCCCAAGCAGCTCTCCCATGAAGAGGTAAAAGGGCAGCAGGAGCTGAAAGCTTTGCTTCGCTGGCACCGCCTCAGGGATGAGGTGCAGAACTCTGAGGAAGAGCTGCAAGTTTTGAGGTAACAGCATGACAGCATTGTCTTGCATGTGCTCTCTCTCCTGTTTTCCACATTGTCTCCCTTCAAAAGGTATACATCCAAACAATCTGATTAAATCCACTGCGTTTCCTTATTTCCTTCTAATGAAAAAATAAAATGCAAATTAAATTGACTAGGTTGTTCATCTTGACTGTAATGCAATTGCTTCTCCCTTTGTTTTAGAAAGCTTTCAGAAACCATGGGATTTAGTTTGATATGAAATCTCTCTAAGCAGTTTACAAGAGCCACTATTCAGGGGGAAAAAAGCCATTTCCTGAACAAAGTTCTCTGTTGGAAGCTGTAACAGATTCATTTTCTGTGGCTGGAGACAAGCACATACATTATCATGGTATCTAACTGCCAAGCTGAGTGAAGCTTTAAAACACAAGGAAAAAGCATAGTGAACTATATAAATCTACTTTCTCTTTAGAAATTACTAGTAATGATATTGAAAATAGATTCTGGTCTTTAGGTACAAGATGCTAAGCTCAAGGCTGCTTTTCGGGTAGTTAAAGACATTCTTGCTTTCTCAGTGATTAATAATCTGGGCAGCTGTGACTGGTGGCTTGGAAAGTTGCCACAGCCTCTGATCTGGAGTGTCTGCCTGACTCTGGAACTGCTGAGTCTCCACTGCTCGTCTCCCCACAGCCTTCCACCAAGAAAAACACCTTACTAATCCCAGTTCAAGTTAGGCCAACAGTGACCAGAAATATGGACAAATTTCAAGAGATTACGGAGCCCATTTTCCTACTCTGGAATACAGGCCATACACACAGACCATCCCAAGTGGGTTGTTACTGACATGTTTTTAGAAAGCTCCAACAAAAAAGTTTTCATAAGAGGGCCAAACTGTCTCAGTGTCTCAATAAGACAGCTAAACTTAGTGTTAACAGTAAAAAATTGCTTCCTAAAGCACAGCTGAAATATTGTTTATTTCAAACTATGTAGATTTCTTCTTTTCTTTCACCAAGTGGAAGAACAAATTGATACCCATCTTCTATGTAATCAGCTTTTAAATGTTTTTAGAAGACTGTTGCCATTTCATTCGTTTAAGGTCTTCCCTTCTTTTTGTGCTTGCTCAGTAGGAACTGAAAGCCTTTTGGGCACTAGAGACTGTTCACTAGCATAGAAATTCTTCTCCTTGACCTCCTGTAATCTGAAAGCATATCACCAACTTTGTAACTGTAGCCTTTCATTGGTCTGGTTTACTTTGCGTTTATTGATGAATTGTGTTATCCTGTGTGTAAGCAGAGTAAATGAATTTACACATTTGTAAGTATACAATTTGATGACAAGTGTAAATACAAAAGCAAGGTTTATCCCTGGCTGTCATAGAGCTGCTGCCAGCACAACTACTGCTTGACAGGTGCTGGGGTTTTGATTTGTTTTATATAATTTTGTTTTAATATTGGTTCTTGTGATATGAGGCTTATCTGCATGTGTGTTTTCCATTTTCAAAAGTATGGAATCACATTTGTTGTCTTTTGTGTTAATTATGTAGCTGTTATTTTTAAAAAAATGTTATGTTGTGTAAATTTTTAAAATAATTTTTCTAAGGATCAAAATCCCCTGTAGATTGAAACTCAGGAAGAATTGATTTCTTTTGAAATTGAAACTTAAGCTTTCTGTTGACTTCCACAGTTAGTAGACTTAAGTCTCTGAAGAAGAATCCTGCTTACCTTTTATGTAGTGGTATTCTCAGTGCTAACACAGAAGAGTGGGAAATAATTTCTCATTTGAAAAAATATACCTCTAATAAACACTTGAGGAGAGGCACATGATTCCAGCTTGTGATTCTGGCCATCTCTTCTTCTTTAGTGTCTCTCATTTCTTGCATTTAAGGACTTTCTACTGGTTTCGGTCACAAATAAATACTATCTACTATTGTTGTAGTGTGGACTTGAATAGGTTCTCTCTTTGCATGTTTACTTGGGGTTTTTTTATTTTCTTTATCCTTCTGAAAGTATATCCTTGTGCTTTCCAAAACTGGTATGTAAGGGAGAAAATTTCAGTCCTTGCCCTGAAGGGACAGGACTGAAGCCGAGCTGGGTTTTGAGCCTGTGCTGAAGCTTGGGCTGGTTCAAACCTGTGTTTTTGTACCAGATATTAAAAGTAAATGATAATTGTTTGTTACTTCTTACCAGTCATGTCAGGAAAAAAAAAATCAGTCAACCCACTCTTCCCAAGCATAAGCTTATTCTTAATTACTTTTTTGTTCCCTGTTGGACAATCATATGATTTTCTGTGCTTTCTCCTGACAGCTGGAAAAATCTGCCCCAAACTTGTCAGCTGATCCCATTAGCTTTTGATCCAGCAAATGAATACTTGTTTAGACTAGGTGAAAGCCACTCAACCAACTGATTACCAGCCTGATGTTTCTTATTATTATGGCATTTGGTATTATGTTGTAGTAGCGTGTCATAAGATGGCTGTGTCATAAGATGCCTGTGAAAAAAGAGGTCAGAAGGAAATAGGTGAGTGTCTTTTCAACAGGCAGCAACTCTGAAAGGCAGCACCAGCAAATCTTAGTGTTGCATGTGATGAAAGAGGTTATTCTTGCAAGTATAGTCATGTAAGCTATTAGGCCACTGATCAGGTACATAAAGAGAAATCTCTAATTGAACATAATGACTTCACTGTTGTCCCCTTCCTCTTCCCTTCCCCTTAAAATGTCTCGTTTGTTTGTTTGTTTCTCTTTGTTCATAACTTGTTTGCACTGGAGGATGACGTTGAACTTGATGTGTGCTGGCTGTGAAAAGAGTACACCACCCTAGTGATGGATTTAATTTAGTAGGAAATTCATTTGTTTGACTAAGTTAAATTATATATTCAGGGTAATGAAGACTGAACTGATCACAGGTGTCTGCAGTTACTGTGCCATTTACGATGCTTTCAACTATTAGAATGAGTAATGGGTGAGTTACTTCTTTACTTACTTATCCAAAACTTAATTAGTGTGTTTCTATTTTAGGCCCAACAAGGAGAGCACAGGAGAATTGAGTGAGTCTGGAGCATCTGTTGTCAAATATGGTCTTAAAGCAGAAAAAATCTTCATGCAGGTTCACTATTTGAAGGTGAGTGTTGTCAGTTGATTTTTATTGAAGTTGCTTTATGAATGTGATAAAGATTTCTGTCTTCTGGACATCAGCAAATTCATAATTTCCTGTTTGTTTCTGCCTTAATGTCTTGCAGGGTTATTTCCTTTTGAGATCTCTGGCAAGGACAGCAGGAGAGGCCTCATTCCTTCTGTCTTTGCGAAAATTTGTCTGTAAGTTCCACGGGCAACTCGTCCTTTCTCAGGTACTGTGCCTGGGCTTGTGCTTCACCTTTGGAAAAAAAAAAAAGATTCAAACTTTTGGATTGACTATCTAAACCTTCACTTCTGGTTGTGCTGTACAGAGAGAGGCAATTGTCATTTGGCAATATGGGTGAAATTACTGCCTGCTAGAGGGCAGGACATTTTTTTGACAGTTATACATAAATCAGACACCTTGTTAGTATCTGATAATATAAACAATGGGTGATTTGTTTTAACTCGCTACACTGAAAGGTCAATGTTCATAGATACTGACATCAAAGATAGGGTCATTTTACCCTACTGGAATTGTCTCCCATAATCTTTTAGCTAATGAGTTTTGCTTTTGATCAGTCAGTCTTTTACCAGATGATCCTCTGTTTCTGAAAGAGGAAAAATTATATTTCTGACTTTTCTTCCTCTCTGCATGCTGCTTCATTTAATGCTTGTCATTTCAGTGTCCTTCTTATGAGGACAAACCCAAATGGGTAGAAATTTACCTCCCTCTAGGTCTTTCTGGAAAAGTCCTGTAACTGTTGGCTCTAGTTTTGTTTTGATTTAGGAAATTACGTAGCTCTGTGAACCTGAAGTTCTAGGAATCCTGTCATTGGTGATGAATCCAGCTGGTTCCACAGCACTGCAAGTAATGCTGTGAAAACAACCACTCATGGGGGTGTCTGTGAACCAGGACTCTGAACTCATATGGTTAAAAACAGTCCTGGAACAAAACCTACGACACAACAAATATTTAACATTGCTGGAAGAGCAGTGTGATGAGAGGCAAAGGAAGAGAAAGGGGAAGGGGAATGAGTGAATTTCCGAAACCAGTTTCTTTGCTGGTCTGTCTTATATGGAGTTATGGTTCAATTCTTTGAGGATGTTCTGGGTGGTGATAAATGTCTCCTTGCAACACAGAGCAAAGGCCTCTGATTTTGCAGGACTGGAGTCCAACACTTGCTTTGTCTCCCAGCCACAGTGATCCTGTGCTTGCATGCTTGCTGTTTGGAGTCTCACTCTTGTGGGGAGAGATGTGTGCCCATGTATCTTACAAGCAGCTCACAGACCTGGGAATTCTTTCATATGTCAGGTCACCCAAGAGTCGGGCACAGCAGCTCCAACACAGCAGCTCTGCCCTGTGGAGGAATATTTGGTGTGTTGGGGGGTGAACACTAATGCAGCTGTTCCTGTGCCTGTTACTGGCACCCTGAACCACATGTGGCATAGTGTGGAAAATGCCGGGGACTGTAGGAGTCTTGTCTACGTTATGGTGTCCAAAATCATAAAAATGATGCTTCACTATTTCACAGATAGAAAAATTTTGAAAATTACAGAAATCATGAAACTGCTAACAACAAAAGCAGCCCAGGGTTTTAATCTGGTGGTAAGGAAGGTGCTCATATTTTGATGACAAGAAGTTAACTTGTTGCTCCTGGTTGATGTGAGATGAGTTGTCAGTAGATTGTTTGAATGCTGCAAAATGTCTCAGCAAATTATACTACTAGTCTTAAAGATTGTGTTTATATTAGTGTCTGGTATAGGTAGATAATGAATCACAGCAAGAATTGCAAATGCAGAAGCAATAAAATCAAGTTAGTACAAAGTTTCTTGTTCAAGTTTCTTCTTGAACAAACATGCTGTCAGTGTTTAAATGAATAAAAGATTTAAAATAAATAGAGGTGAAAATGGTAAGTTTAAATATCATAGTGCTGTATTTTCACCTTGTCTGAAATAATGGTAAAAGTTTCCAGCTTCGGAATTCTGGGTATAAAGAAAAGTAAAACCAGTGAAAAATTACCCATGTTATGAATACTAGTCTTGTTTTCAGTTGTGTTTGTAGTAATTTTCCTAGATGGGAGCTGCAGGTGCAAGGAAATTACTTCAGATGTGAAACGTTCATCAGTTTGCCTTTTTCCTTGGTTTTATTTGCATGCTCAGTAAGATTTTAATAGTAGTTTATTTTAATTGAGTTAGCAATAGGTGAGTAAAGCAAGTCTGGAATCTCTGAGAAGGATTTTTAAAAAAATCTGCCAGTTTTCTTTCTATGAGAGAATCCACTTACTAATTGCTTTGAAGGAACTTTTAAAATAATGAGTGGAGTGTTATTTGCTATAACTAAAAAGGAAGGAGTGAGAGTTACTGATACTCCTAACACAGTTAAAGCTGTTGTTCTGCTTCATATTGAAATAGGAATATCTTGGGAATTGAATTGTTTGCAGACTTTAATTTTCATGTAGTTATGTCTGTTATAACAGGCAACAAATCCTAATTTTGACTGAAGCCAGTCAGTGGCTCCATCCCTGGGGCTTAAACTTTTGAACTGTCTGGCCAAGGATTGCTGTCTGATAATTGAACATATAGGTGGGGAGTCAAGCTTGCTCTTGGTAGGAATTATCATCTTTGGAGCTGCATTCTGGGCTCCTCACCAAAACCCCAACAGAAGGATTTAAAAATGTTGTTCCTTTTGTTAAATAAAAGCCAGGAAGATGAATGGGGAGGGAATTCCAAATAAACAGGGACCTACAAATGGTGCTCATTATTTATTTTTCCACCCAGAGGGGATAAATTAACATTTACCATTTAGTTATGTAATTTACAAACTACATATTTGTTAGGGGTAGTTTAACTTTGAGTGGATAATTTCTGCAAGAAATTGGGTGTAAGTGCAATCTGAGTTTATTTGTTGCCACGTGAATGTCCATTTAGATGTGTCACTTTTAGTCATGAAATCTCCATTGCTTTTATGCACCTCGTTTATATTTCAGTCAGAGAATTTAAACTAAAGTATCTGTTGGTTGTAGAGCATTCGAAATATCTAGATTTGAGGTTTTCATATGAAGATATAATTTGTCTTTTAATATTGAGTGTTCTTTATTTGATATCAACATGTGTACAACCATTAACAGTGCAAAGAAAATTTCTCCTTGATCACAAATTCACAGTCTTCTCCAGGTTTGATCTACCCAGCAGCCCAAAGTTGTAGTCATGATTAAAATTGTTGGCTTCAGTCAGGGCTATAGTGAGAGCAGACAAGAGTCATTAGGGAATTTCATTATAAGAGGCCAGCAAATCCTCAGTGAACGTGTGTGAACTCATTTTTCTAAGGCTTTTTCAGTTTGGCCAAATGTCAATAGAGTTACAGAAACTGCAGAATAATCTTTTCTTTATAGAGGGAAAAGTTATTTTCTAGCCTCTGGTTCTCTAACCAGGGAAGAATAACAGGAGCAGTGAGATGATTTGATCATATCAGTATAAGCCAGTTTGTACCTGTTGCAGCACTGGGGTGGCACATGACTTCTAATTCATATTTTCTTTCTACCTTCACTGAATTACTTACAACAAAGAACAAACTATAATTTGTTTTATAATCTGATCCTGAATTTATTTATGATTACCCTGGTCGTCCCCAAGTCTTTGCTTCAAAGTGTAGGGTCCCTAGGACGTGGCATCAAAGCTTAAAACCCCCTGCATTCCCTTCTGGATTTTCTCTTGGGCACTGCTGAACTATTTTGTCTAAGGAGGAAGAAAAAAATACCATGAGGATAAAATTGCAATCCAGATGGTTAAAGTTGGCAAAATTATAAGCAATTGAAAAGTCGGACCTATAATGAGATGTGTCATGCAGACTTGATAATAGGCAAATGTTAAAAGCCATGCTAGTATGAGTAAGTGGTAATTTGTTTTCCTGCTCTGTTTTGGAGCATCAAAATAGGAGCAGTTAAGATAGGACAGATTAATCCTAATTTTAAGACAGTGTGTAGAATGATGGTTACTACATTATTCTTATTAAATATTTGGAAAAATGAAGACAACTTTAATCACAAAGATGTTTAATTTCATAGTATAATATACAGAATATAAACCCATTTCTAATACCAGAACTATCTTTAAGTATACTATGTGATTGATTATAAGAAGTCTGTGCAATCCAGTCAGGGAATCATGCTGCATTAATATGTACAGACACAGCAAATGGTGTGAGGGGCGTCCACTGCAGTTTTACTTTTCACACACTTTTCAAACAACTCTAATCATGAGCTTTTCATTTTCTTTATTTACATGTAAGCTTACTCAGTACCTCCAACAAAACTTCCACAAGTGGAGGAATTCTCTGTTTACATACAGAATAATGGTACAGAACTTCAAGTGGGAGTATGAAATAAGGGAATGTTACACTTGCTCATGGTGTCAGCAGTGCACTGGAACTGGGACAGAAGGACTCCTGGCACAGTCAGTGATGCCACTCTGGCTGCAGCAACACGGAGCCCAGCACTGTGCAATTTACTTTTTGTCATAAGCCAATTTTGCAGCCACTGCTCCAGGACCTGACTCTCACTTATGATCTGAAGGAGGAAGGCTTAACTCTACTACAAGTGTGCAGTCACTCTTACTTTGGTTCCCTAACAATGCCACACTCAGAGAAACAGCATCTTTTGTTGGCTGCTGTGACAAGGTCTCTAAATAAAAGATTGCCTTTTAGGAAACATTCTTCAAGGCCTCGAAGAGCAACGACTTACAATCAGAAATCAGCCTGCACTCATACACTGCAGTGGGGAACATAAACAGCCTCTAAAACTTGTATCCACAAAGATTAGTATTAATAAAGTGGATGTATTGATTTATGAAACAGCATATAAATGAATGATAATAAGTCCTATTATTATGAGATTATTCAGAGGAGTGTATTCTGTCAAAGTGATTGTCATTAAAATTATGTCATGTAGAGCACAGGGTACCAGAAAACCTTTGAGTGATGTCAGGCATAACTTTCTATAGGGGGTTATCATACTGGTAGAAGTGAGGATGATAATAATGCTCTTCCATTGGCATTGAAATGCCCTTGTAAATACCTGAAAGAAATTCTGGTTGTTTTTCCATTGAAGAATTTACTCATTAGTTGAGGTGGTTATCAGCAACGTTGTGGATTTTGTTGTGGAATGAGGAGTAGGTGTGATCTTCTAGTCAGGGCTGGGCATTAAGGAAGAAAAAGCCTTATGCAGTTATATAATTGAAGACAGTGTGATAACACAAGCACATTGAAGAACATGTAAACACCCTTAATTTTGGTGTTTCCTAACCTTTGAGTATGTGAATCTGCAGCCTTTAACAGTTTTAAATGTAGTTTGGGTGTGTGTGCATATTGTAGATAAAAGTGGGAATGTGGGATTGTGTTAAAACAGTCAGCAGGCTTTTCAAGTCCATTTTCTTTCAGTGTTAACACTTTTTGCATGAGTGGGTTGAAAAACTGCCAAACATAATGTATGTTGTATAAATAACTGAGTAATATATCACCATAGCAATATATAAATTTATTTCTTATCATTCTTTTATTTGCAGTCTGTAAGAAAACGTTGCTCACTAGCAATGCAGACACAGGGTTACATCTTCATAAGCATACTGACTGTGGTGCTTTGTTCCTTTTCCAGGATTTCCTTTGCATGCTGTTGGAAGACATCCCTAAACAAAGAAAGTAAGAACTGGGCTAGAAAAGCAAAAAAAAAAAAAAAAAAAAAGTAAAAATCAGATTTAAATATCAACTGTGCCAGCCAGAAATAGTGGGATTTCATTTAGTGATTTCATTTAGTATTGTTCTGTTTGTTTTTTTCAAGTGTGTGTTTCTCTGACAATTCCCGTACTTATGGACACAAAATCCTGTGGGCCTTGCTGTTTTATTGCTGTGCCTGCTCTCCCTGAGCAGTGCCTTTAACTTGCCTGTTAGGTCAGAAGTACTGTCCTGTGTTCACTGTGCAACTGAAGTTCCAGGCATAGCTGCCTACCCAAATTACCCTCTGCTCTGCCTGCCAGCTGCCTTTGGCAAGTGCCCCCCAGGAGCAAGGGTGCCAGAACCTTGCTATGCATCTGGCAAACCAGAGAAAATGCATTTTTCTCAAGTAGTCTGGTGCCATCTCCTCCCTGTCATACAGTGTATCCAGGGAGGAAAGATGGAAAACACGGATGGAAATCCAGCATTAATTGCCTGACATGTCCTCCAGAATCCTCCTGTGTGTGACTGTGGCTGGTTGGATATGACTCAGATTGTCTTTAGCAGCGCTTGGAGTCTATCCTTGCTTATCTGTTGGTTTGTTCTGTGCTCCTGTAGACTGTGCTACAAATACAGATTCTTTTGTAGTGGAGCTTTACGTATTATACTTTTTAAAAATAATGTATTTACTTGAAAAATGTAACTTTGAAGACCAGTATTCCAAAAGTGGTGAAAACTCGATGAGGGGTTTGGAGAAAAAAAAAGGAGAGAAGAAAGTCATAGAAGTCAAATGTGCTGAGGTTTTTGGTGAAACACTTCTGTTCCTAAAGGTTGAGGGACAAAGAAGCTCATTATCATTGAGAAAATGTGTTTTGTGACACTCTGAATTTAGTTAGGGTGGTGTTACATTTTCCAGTGATGTACTGAAGGATGATACTTTGTTTATCTAATTGAATATAATTTCCTACCGAAATATAAGCAGGAATATTATATGGAATATATACAAAAGTGGATTTTTTAGTGGTATGATTATACATTAATTTGTTTAAAAAACCTCGTTTTCCTTCCTTTTTTCTTATGTTTCTCTGAAGTCCAAACCCAGTGCAAAATGTTATTTGCATAAGCATCCAATTTTCTGCCTATACACGTGCTAGTATATTTTAACTTTCAGTGAGACTAATGCAAAAGAAGTATGGCTCCATTTGTGATGCATCACACTCCAGAATGTATGAACAAAATTTCAGATCTATGGTAATTCATTTTACAGTCATATATGTAGCATATCTGAACCAAAATTACCTTGGATGCAGATTTCAACAGCAATGCAAGAATAATAGAATATCTGGATATACAGAAGGCCTTTATTTCTTATCTGCTACAAGGGTGTTTTTTCATTCTTAAACGCATTCTGTTCCTAGTACAGAAATACTCACCTGAGGTAAAAGAAAAGGGAGGAAAGAGAAAATGAAATATTTTTAGAGATCATCTATTGATCAGTTCTTTTTTGCACAAAGTTTGTTGTGGGAATGAAGTGCATTTCCATACTAGAGCAACAAAATTCTTTGTAGCAAACAAAACCTTCCAGACTTGTGCAATTCTACCAAGCAAATTTTAAAAGTTTAAACTAAATGCTGCAAATTTGACAAATATTAAGCACTCTAAGACACCGAAGTTTGTAATGGAGGCTGGTCTTAATCATTTAAAAAAAAAAAAAAGAAGAAAGGAGAAATGTGTAGTAGATAATCAATCCAAATCCTGCCCTCAGCTGTGGCAACAGAGGGAAACTAGTGTAGTTAGCAGTAGAACTTGGCTTATGGGAGATGTTTGTAATGAGAACAGGATGAATATTGACAGAAAATGGTCATGCAAGAGTGTGGAAATTTTCTGTAATTATTACACTGCAGTGATGTAACATGAACTCACTCTCTACTGTTGGATACAGAGGCTACATCTAAAAGATTTTCACCTTTCAGTACTTAATTCCTGTAGTTTTTATTTAAAGGAGATTTTAAAGTACATTCCCAGTGATGAGTAGTTCCAAGATACAGATGTAATTTTTTAAGGGGCAGTCACTGATTTTTGCTGCCTTCTGCGTTCAGAGGAGGAGATTTTTATGCCTGGTTAATAGGGCTCCTTCCCTTCCTGTTCTGATTCAATTATCATGGCATGCTGGCTGCAGGAATCCATCCTGGGAGGAGGATCCTTCTGGTTCTGGACTGCAGCTGAATGCTCACACCAGACAGGCTAAGCGCTGCCTTCTGGGCCTTTATAATTTCTTAACTTGCCTTTAAGGCAGATTATTTGTCTGTGTGAAGGGCTACTGGTGAGAAGGACAAACAGATTCATCATTACCCTTCTCTGTTTAGAAAGATTTTTAAAATATTCCATGCACTGGCTGGAGTCTCACATTACCTTGGCCCTTCTGCAGAACAGCTGCAGTACCTTCCCACCTGTAACTGAGGCATTTGACTTGCTCGTGTATCATTTGAGACTTCACTACATTGAAAAAAACAAGCAAACCAAAACAGACACCAACAAACCCCTCCTGTGTGTCTATATAATACAGTGCACTAGGTTTTATAAAGCTCCTGGTGGCTCTGTTCTCCCCAAGGCTCACACCCACAGTCTGTGCTGCACCTTCATTCTCTGCACATCTGCCTAGCACGTGAGCTGGGCCAAGGCTCAATATTTACCCCTGGAACAGAGGGGGAGCTTCACTAGTCTCAGATAAATCTTTAAATCTTTAAAGAGTTGCTGCTTGTGCAGCTACTTTGTGACTGCAGATTTTTTTTGAGCAGGTCAGTTCTGGTCTTTGGAGTTTTGTGCTCGTAGTTTTTATTTCATTTCATTCAATAAAATAAACAAGTCTACTACTAAGCTCTGGTTTTAATAATATGTGATAGACAAAGGAAGGCTTGTGGTACAGCTCTACTATTTGTACTGTTAATAACCCAGGCTCACTAACCACATTCCTTGGATGTCTTCACAATGTGTCGATTAAGTACTGAAATAATGCATCAATTTCAAACTACTCAGCTATACATTTCAGTTGGATATGGCAGACTTTTCTATCCTCCTTTACATATAAAAAAAATTTCACACTTTCATGGTTTCTTCCTCTTGATTTAGGAAGTAAGTGGGTTTATCCTGAAGTTTGTAGAGTGCCCTGGGGCCTTGTGCAATGAAAACTTGATATATAGACATCTTTTTAAATACTCATTTTCAAGTTATCATTAATGTTAGTGTTTTACAGACCTTGCTCTGAAGCATTGAATCTGACCATGAACTGTATGTATGCATGTCAGGAAATAATTCCTAGGCTGATTGGCTTATCATCTAAACAAATAGACAAGGGAGGAGATAATGGATGTAAACCCATTCTCATTTTACAGCAGGGAACTGCAGTAGGAAGCAATGAAGAACCTGAACAATGGAACCCAGATCCCACAGTCCAGTGCAGAACCTTAAACAGAATCCTATCCAGAAATTCACACAAACACCACATTTAAGCCCTTACAGATGCTTAACTGCAACCTAAGTGGGTGGTAAGTGCCCTCACTGAACTGCAGCCTCTACAAATACCAGGCCATCTGTCCTTTCCTACCATGTTTTTTTTTGAAATAGCAATAGTTTATGATAAATTTTTGGGGGTTGTTTTGAAGCCAAGCAAGTTAGTGGAAACCTTTCCAACATCTTCACAGTTCTTCAGTACTGACTCTTACGAGGTTCGGAGCAGGTCTACCTATTACTAATATATTAAAAAAAAATAGTGGATGCCTGTAAACTGCTGAACCAAGTTGTTTCTTTTGATAGGTGCCAACAAGAATGTCTGAAGTTGGAATAAAAAAAGGTGTGTCCAAGTAGAAACAAAGAAGATTGCATATGGTCATATGGCAGGTGTTTGGCTGAAACTGGGGGTGCTGCAGGCAGAGAAACAGCAGCACTGTTGCCTTTGCCCTTGGGAAAAAGGATAGTTTTAGGAAAGGCTGAGTAGCTGTCTCGTGGTTTACTGCCTGGGTTAGTGTAGTGGCAGAACAGTGTGATTCCCCTCAGTGTCATAAACGCCAGTTTTTGAAATGAGCGGGTGTATTACATAAATGCTCTACATAGCAAATGTAACATAGATTGTTTTGCAGAGTTTTTTTATCATGAGGAAATCTCACAGTGTAAGTTTAGCTTCTGGGGGAGGGAGGAAAAAGGACTACCTGGTATTGTGAGGCTGTTTTTCTTATCCTTTGGTAAGACAAACTAAATGCACAGATAAGGGAATTTTCCCCAGCTCCTAGTTCTGCTTCAGCATTAGAACACTGAGCTGTATTTGTTTTGATTCATGCAATAACAAATTAAAAAAATTGTTATTCTGCTTATAGTACTTGAGACGGAATAAGTGGTACAATCCACATTTACATCTTTAACTGTGTAAAATTTTGGTGCCCAGTTTTAAGCTAGTCCTGTATGCACTTTTTCTAGTAACCAGACAGCAAAGAGAACTCAAGAACATCATCTTATTCTGAGGAAAGTACATTGATTAACTGTTTGGAAATACTCTTCCTTTTCTCTATTCCCTGTAGAAGGGACTCAGCTAACTAACTTAAGACTAGACACCAATTTTTAGAGCATGATGGTAAGGTGAAGGCAATTATACTTTGAAGGATATAGCAGTCAAATGCTGTAAATTTCATAAGTTTGAATAAATATCAAGGAACAAGCCTGGATGTTTAATAATTTATTTGAATGTGAAACACTACACAAGCATCACATACATGTTAAGTTTTCTGTAACAAATTTATTTATATATTCAAACATGCACAGTGGTGTTTTCCTTAAAATTCAGAATCCTAGCTTTTTTGAAACATTTCTGCTTGACTGCTGCAATTATTTGAATCACATGATCAGAGAAAAATTTGTATTGAGTTGCTTTGCCTTCCTGATTCAGAGCTTTGAAATGGTTGTTCTTTCCATGAATGCTTTGCTTGCTATGAGTCTGCATTCCACATGTGAAAGTAGCTGCAAGTGTGAGAACAAGCCTTGCCATGCACAGGACCACACACATCTGTTCTGCTCCTCAGAATATTTACATCCATTGAGGGCTTCTCCAACTCCCTTTCTCCAGCACTGGCACACAGCACGGACAGTGCCATTTTTTAAAAAAATTGTTTTAAATTTCTTTTTATTTGAGTTCCCTGCAAGTTGGGAAGTCTCCAGCCAGAGCTGAAGTAAATGCAACAGAAGTTGGCTACAAAAGTAAAAGGGGAAATATGATGTCTGAATTTGCAAGTACTTAGCATGTGGTTATTTCAGTCTCACAGGGCTTGATCATGAGAGACTATTTCCTTTTGTTGGAGCTCCATACTCTTCTGTGATTTCACTATGAATGTTATCAGGATGTAAAGAAAGTGCAGAAAAGACAAAGCTAGAGTTTATTAGATACTTGGTAACTTTGAGAATTAATATCCATCAGTGCCTTTTAAAACCTAAAAGTTTGAGGAAGTTTGTATTTAATTTAATTTAGTGTTTTATCTTTACATTTAGGCTACTTCTTTAATAAACTACTGGTTTTGAATGTTTCAGTATAAATGTGCTTGCCTAAGACTTTTTTCCTGTAAAGAAACCAAAAAGCCACTCAGCGAGAAGCAGAGGACCTGTTCATACTTCACGTGTTCCATAAATGTGGTTTACCACCTAACACTTTCTCTGTCAATCCTCATAAGCACTGAATTTATCATTTGAGTTTTGAGCACAGAAAACCTGATCTGCCTGATTTGCTCATGTGACCCGTTATGGTATTATTCATTAAAAACCCAAGAGTGTAGTACCACTGCAGTACAACAAATACTTGGAATTAGGGAGTTTGCTTAGCTTCTGAAGGGTTATTTTATGTATATGGGAAAAAAAATGGTATTTTTGTGCGTCTTCTAATTTTTTTTTCCCCTCCCCAAGATCCGGGTTAACTGTTGAAAGTATCTTCCAGAACTGGCTTGACACTTCTGGAATACCAAAGGTAAATATAAAATACCAGTCCCTTCTGGAGTCTTGCTCTTCTCATTACATTATGTTATTTAAATCATTACCTGAATTTATAACAGGTATGATTTTAAATAAAGAGTTTTGTTTGTACGTGATTAGCTCTTGGATTTGAGCAGCCTGTCTGGTGGAAGGTAACCCTGCCCATGGCAGGTGGGTTGGAACTAGATGATGCTTAAGATCTCTTTCAAGCCAAACCATTCTGTGATTCCCTGATTGTCCTACTCAAAGAAAAAATGGATTGGAGAGGAAACTCGTGGCAAAACTGTTTAAAAATTTAAGCTGAAATATAATTTGCGAACAGTTCTAAATCAATGCAAGTCAAGTACTTCTGTGGTTTCATAAATTTTAGGAGGATATTACAGCAGCAGCTCAAGTACTTAATATGATTTCTGATAAAGCAGTTTGCTGTTAAGAAGGGTCCTGGCTTTTGCCCCAATTATAAGCTGTATAGATTTCCTGTTTCCCTTTTTTAAGACAAAAATATGGATGAAGGGATGGCTCTACAGGAGAATGCTTCACAGGGTAGCAGTTATGGTCAGTTACCACGTTCAAATATTTTTCAAAAGAATGCTCTTACTAAACTCCAGTTGTGCATTCCAGTTTTATAGAGGGTACTAGAAAATTTTTCTTGCATAAAAATCACTCTTATTGGATCAGAGTATGACTTAAGGCTTAGGGTTGTTAACACTTGATATTTCTTGTCATTGCTAGTCTTGCCTTATCTTGAAGTTTTTTTTTCTTTTGGGTTGTACATAGTAACTACATATTGGTGGTTGGCAACATGAGACAGTAAAGAAGTGAAATGCTTGCTGTTTGTTGCGATACAGTAAATTTGTAGGCATTGGCAGTGGGAATGACCTCCTAAGTATGTAAATCTCATTCAAGTGTGTGATTTGGGGAAAAAAAATGGGAAGGGTCTATGAGAGGTATCATTTTCTTTGGTATTTAATAATATTTAATAGTGAATCTCACATTAATTTCAAAATTAGTATTAAGTATTAGTCCCAAGAACAGCAGGCTGCTGATTAAATACTTAAGTGATACTTACCACTTGATTATTTTTTTATCTGAACATGGAGATTTTTGTGTGTGTTTTTAATACCAGCACAGAGAATATAACTGATTCAACTGATGGTTGAATTCTGTTTGAGAAATAATCTGAAGAAAGCATAACTGCTACCTTAACATATATACTTGTTCTTATACATGGAAACCACACTTTGATGAATAGGCACTTCCACTCAAGAAAATTGGTATTTTTTTTTTGTATTAGTTTGCAGACTGGAAGATTAAAAGATCTTTCTTAAGTTGTTAAAAATGTAAATGAGCATAGATCAACAATATCAATTGTTTAATGTCTTCTGTAGTGATAGCAAGCACAATAAGAAAGCAGTTTTTGAATGTGAGTTATTAGTGCTGTGTTTTTTCTGAGATTATCAGTTCTACTGACAACATTGCATCCCATTTTCTTAGAATAAAGATTTTTGGAAAATATAAAACTGTTATCAATGTATATAGTACTGTAGCATGCATAAATGTTAGATGAATCATGAAGATAAACAAGACAGACAAACTCAGTCTGTATGTTGTTGACTCTGAAAAAGATAGACTATCCACCGGAAAGTTTTCTCGATAGACCATAGGATACAGAGAATTTTGTTTGCAACAAACTGTCAAAAAAGATGTAAGGTCTGTTATTATTTAAATAGATCTGTATTTATGTAAAGAAGGTTATTGGCATAATATGGCCTTGTAATTTATTTAGCCATTCCTGTAAATTGCACTTAAGATACTGCTAAATGAGACACAACAGTGGTGTATTTTTGTTTGTAGAATAGTTCAAAAGTTCATGAAAATGGCTTATATAAAAAGATACATCATTAAGTGTTAGTAAGGACACAAATTTGTTACAGAGCTCTTGAAGTTCAGGTGAGATTTAAAGTATTGTTATCATTTTGGCAGGTTTGATTTAAGTTTCTTCTGCATTGCACGTGATTGCTGATTTAGGAGAAAACCACAGACATTTGAGATCCGAATAGTGTTGTTACAAAGTATTGTGTGATTACATTCTAAAATGGGGTAACGTGCTGCCTCGGGTTAGATGCTCAGGGGGCACTGATTAACTTGGTGTCTAGGTTGAATGTAACTTTTAAAAGTTAGAGTTGAAAGTACTGGCTGTAACATTTTAGTGCCTTTGTTGTTCTGAATTCCAAAAGTGAAGCTTAAAACAGAGTTTTAGGAGTCTTAATTTAGGAGTCTCAATTTATGAAGTGAATAATTAAGAAAAAAAAAAAAGCTTTTGAGATTCTCAGCTGGGACCATGAGTCTACATTAAGGATGAGGAGGATACTTTACTGGATTTAGTTTTATGACCTGCTAAAACATTGGCTTGCCTCTTCAGTTAAAAGCCAGATTTTCACAAAAGCAATTCTGTTTTTCTTCAGACTGCCTTTCAGTATCGTGTGTGTTCAGCTCAGAGGTAAAGTACTTGTAGTAGTAGAGTAAATTTGCACAAGTAATAACTTGGTTGAGATGTTGAAGTGCGTTTGAAACTAATGTTCAACAGTAAGTGTGGGCTGGATTCCTTGTGTTTGTTCATTAGGATCTCTTTTAAGTTTAATAAATCTCAGGCAGTCATTTTCATTCCCTTTTCCTATTAATTGCATTGCTGAACACAAAAGCTGTGTTATGTGCAGAATGGCTGAGCTTCTGCGTACTGGAAAGGAGTTATGTTTGGTATCTAAGAACAATAACAGTTTCCTGCCTGGCTGATCAATGCTGGATTGAGTTCACATTCCCAAGCTCCCACTCTCCCACCTACATGTGCAGGGGGTGAAAACATAGCAAAGGGAGGGAGGACAGGCCCTCTTTTTTACAGAAATGTTGAAGGTAGACTTGCTTAATGAGGACACAGCTGGGCTTGCATAGCAATAAACATTGATTTTAATTCGTTGCTTGTAAAAACATCCGAGGAAAAGCACAGAAGTTAGCAACCAATTAATTTTTAGCCTGCTCATTGTTTTCTTTACTCAATGGAAACAAACCATTAAGGTTTAAAATATTTTTCGTGCTACCTTTCAAGAAAACAGCTTTTCTGTATTAATTAGGAAAGAGTAAACTTTAATATGTCTGAAATCTCTCCAGTTTGGGGTTCCTTATAAGTAGTTTTATTGCATTGGAACAAGGTTATGAAATAATGAAAAGTCAAATGCTACTCTAGGAAATAATATTTGAGATCTTTTTAGTGCAGGAGGATAAAGAGTTGGGCCTGAAGCTGAGGTAGAAATTTTATGTGACAGAAACAAGTTGCCACCTACTGTTCCCAGTGGTCTAGGGTTTTTAAAAGAACACTCTAAATTTTACTTCCTTGAAAATTTCCCTGTTTTCTAGGCTTTTAAAAAGACATGTTTGTGACTGGAAGGAGTGAATATGTGGGGAAGATGTATTTCACACATGTAAAAACACATACTATGCACCTGATGTCCATGCATCCCTCTGTAATGCTAACCCAAAAAGTGTGACCTGCTGATTCATTACGGAGTGCAGGGCCAACCTAAAATCTGAGGGTTTATGTCCATATGTGATTGTATTAAAAAGAGTTATATCTTGCTACTTTTAGAGAAAGATGTTGTAACTTATACTCTGGACTGTGTTGGAAATTCAGAGCACGTGGCAGTAGTTCTCAAGCAGAAAGGTCTAAATGTAAACCAGCAAACTACTTTTCCAGTTGCTCCAGAGGCAACTGTATAGTAGTGAGAGGACCCAGTGAAATTAGAAGAGGAAGAAACCAAAGAGACCATTTTAGCATACTCTAAACATATTCTCATAGTATAGATAATATTTTATCATAATATAGATAATATAACCCTATATGATACATAAATCATATATCATATGCTATATATCATATATATGCTACATACAATTATTTAGTAATAAGCGTATTATTTAGAGATCCTGTGATATTGTTGTTAGAGATGCTTTCTTTATTAGGTTATGAATCTGATCTTGCAACTAAATAGGTGGTTCTGGGGATTCAGTGATTCGTCTCTACGTAATAACTTTCTTCACAAAACAGAGTTGCTAATGTGGATATGAAGGATATATTTGGATTACAAATTTGAAAAACATTTCTGCCATAGTATGTGAAAGTCCTGTTGCAGTGTGCTGAGAGTACATCCTTCATGTGGCACCAGTGCCATGGTCTGGGAACCACGGCAGGGTTGGATCGGGGTTGGACTTGATGATCTCAGAGGTTTTTTCCAACCCAGCTGATTTTATGATTCTATTGTTTCAATAGGGTTTTGTCTCTTGGAGGTAGACATATTTTAAGGAAGAGGAAGTTTGACTTGAACAGAATTTCTCTGTAGGGATGTTGTGTTGAAAAATATCAGATCAGCATGCTGACCTGAAAAGAATGTGTTTACATCACCACAGCAACTCTTGGAGGAATTAGAACATTTAGAACATGACCATCTTTCTTAGAAAATGAATAATGTCAGAAAAACTTGATTTTCCATTTCAGTGAATAAAGCTGTACACATGAAAACTGCACAAAATCAGTTGGAGAGCTCACTGTTCTTACAGGAGAACATTCTGGGCTGGATTTCTTTTTCAGTAATTTTTATTTGCTGCAGATTTACTGTTTCTTGCACTGGGGATGCACCAACCATCTTGTCATTTTCAGATGTAGCCTACTACCTGCTTAGTTTCTCTGCCAAATTCTGGTAACGGTAGTGTTTTAAAATCCTTACAATTGTTTTCTCAGTCAAATGCTTCAAGCCAGACTTCATCATCTAGTGAGCTACTGGATAAAATACTTTTCTGTACTTCCATTTTCTGAACTTCTTTTTACAAAAGATTGGAAGCCAGGTTTTTCCTGCTGAAACAATTTTCAGGTCATACAGACTGTTCTGAGGACACATTATATTCTCAATCTCCAAGTAAGCTAATTTTCTAACTAGTGTTCTTTTTTTCCCAGTAAATCATCTGTGCAGTAAGAAAACATGTGTATCCTACATTTTATTGTAGTGCCTTTAAATTATCCATTTCTGATATTGCAGAGATGATGGCATCAACCTTAGAAAGTAAGCTGTATCATTCTAGTATGGTAGGATGAAACTAGGAGGGAGTCCTTTTTTTGTTTTCTGTTAAATGGGAAGATGTAAAAAGGTACAAAATTGCAATTTGTAGACTGGTGAAGTTAGCTACATCGTCTAGGAGAAAACGACTTTTCTGTGCTCTTGCTGGTGTCCATGTAGCTCTGAATATATAAATGTCTGGGTGTATATGTGGTGTAAATTTCAGTAATTGAGGGGAACATAATATCTCTAGAAATGAGAGGTTGGAAAATGACTACATTAGTTATTAATTTCCTCTGCTTTGCAGGAGTTCTTCTGAAATTCATTTACAGTAAATATTTTTATTCCACATTTTCATCTTTTTCTTTTTGCCTTCCAGTGTCTGAGGACTGTTGGAAAGCCTAAAATGGTATTGATTCAATGTTCACCTTAGGTAAAACTACCTTCTTGGTTTATCAATACTGACTGTCTTTGCATAAGAGCAGCACAGAGGAACTGAAGTTATAGACAACATATGCAAAGTGCATGATTATAATTTTTCACTTAGTTATGAAATATCTCCATTAGCCATCACAGCCAGAACAATTTAAAACCAGTTTCTGTTTCAATGTAAAATGAAACAGTTGTCTGTTGCACAAATCTCCTATTGTTTTCTAGGCTATGCACAATTCTGAAAGTTCCGTTTATGCTTGGGATCTGGTCTGGCTTGAAGAGGAACTGGTGTAAACCATTGCCTAAGTTATTTACCAGGATATTAGGCCTACCTTCACCCAATTGGTAGAAAGTGCTTCTTTCTCCCCCCATTTTTCAAAATTTATGTTTAATCCTGACGTTGCAAGACTGAAGGATCCTAGCGTGCTTTGACATGTTTTAACTGTTATACAGGACAGCTCCATTAGTAGTCTCTGAAACAAAGTCTTCACAAGTGAAAAAGGACACAGAGGATGGACTAATCTCTTAATTTCTATTGTGAAGGGATTTAAGTATGACAGTCAGTGTCATGTGGACAGCCAACAGGACAGTTGATAGAGGGTAATGCAGTCATTCTCACTTTAGACTGGGTGTACCATCACTCTTTTATCTGGTGTAAGTAAGCTTTTGAAGTACAGAGAAATACAGTAGGAGACAAAATGTTCTTAAAAAATCTTCTCCCCCCTACCTCCCTTACCCTCCTTCTCTCCTTTTTTCCAGCTCCCTTCTTCTTTTCCTCTTCATCTACTCTCTCTCTTCCATGCTCTCTCTTCCAATCCCAGCAAAATTTTCTAGTCTGGTTATGAGCTAAATCTTATTGAAGCATAAATAAGTGAACAGTTGACTGCACAAGCAGCGTGGTGTGACTGCAGCTTGTTAGGCCCACCCTGTTTCTGTCCCTGCCCTCTTCCCTCTGCAGGTGTCTGCACTGGCATGTTGGCTCTCACCTTGTGCTGCTGGGCTGTCATCTCAGTAGCTGAGCGTCCCAGGTAGGATGTGCACAGCAGCCAGCTCCAGGGAACCCCAGCTGTTGGCTCCACAGGGTATATTACCAATAGAAAAAGTCAGTAACAATTCCCCTTGAGTTTCTTTCACTACTCTGCAGCTATTAACAAGAAAACAGGAGCTGCCTCTGGGGTTTAACACACAGTATATTTGTATGTTTATGGATTTTCATCCCAAATCAGCTTCAGGGTCTGCAGGTCTGAAAATCAGTGTCTCTGGTAATTTTTTTTCCCTGGTTTTCTCCAAACATTTGACAGGAAAGAAAGTGTAATTCTTTAAAGGATTTAAAGTATAAATATGTTTCATTGTTTCTATGGTTCAGTGTTTCTCATAACTACTTCTGTGGGAATATTCAATCTAATTTGTTAACTGATCCAAGGAAATACTGTTTAGGTAGTTGCATTCATTTGTGTTTGCAATTAACATCATTTTTTGTTTGTAATTTTGTTCATTCTCTTTGAACTATGCTCTGTTCTTCTTTCTTCATTCAAATGCACTCAGTTCAAGAGTCAAGTTATAGGAGCTTTCAGAATTATCATAGTAAAAAATTTGTCATGCCTTTACAAAATAAAAATATGTTACTCAGTTTCAAGTAGACCTTGTGAGTACAAAATAAAAAAAAACTATAGTAAGATTTTCTACTGTGATATCTCTGTTAAAAAGTTCTTCTTTGTTTAATAGTTCCTAGTGAAGTTGCTTCTATTTAAAGCATTGAGTTTGATCTTGGCTTTGATCTAAAGCTTTTGATCTTGAAAGAAGGATGTTGTGGCAGTAAAACAAAACGGGTAGATTTTTCTTTTTTTTTTCCAAGTGGTAAAGGATACTTTCAAGACTTAGTATGGACTTACCTTTACTTAAATCTGTTTGCAAAGTCCATCTAATTCTGTATTTTTGAAGGTTTACTCAAATGCATGCTTTAATGAACCCTATTCTTCTACAAGAGCACAGATTTTTCTTCTGAAGCTTCAGGGAATTGCCATATATAGTATAATAGTATAAAAAAACCCTAAAATACTGAAAATACCTTACTGGCATAATTTTAACTGTACCAAGTATGATACAGTCTATCTTTTATTGCCTTTTGTTTTTTAAATATAAACACAAAGTACTTTATGAAATTGTAACGTAAGGATTTATAGTATTCAGATTTTGCATGGCTGACATGGCTTGGGTCTCTCCCATCATGGTGGAGTTAGAATATCCTCTTCAGAGGCTGCAGGTACACCTGTTGAAGTCCCAAATTTAATCACATCCTCACAGCATCTTCTCGAGTAAATAAAGCATTTAGCCGAGGCCTAGGTAGTGGGCTTTGTGTGCTACAACATGACTAAAAAGCTGCTTTGCATCTTGATTTAAGATGCATTTCAGACCCTCCAAGGGAGTTTAATAGTTGGATTTGGGAGGTGCAAGCAAGTACGGAGGCCAATCTTGGATCAGTTGTGATACTTGCTCTCTTGAACTAGCCCCGTTAGGCCATTCCTCTGTCCCACAGACCTGTGACAGCGGCTGTTTATAGGAAGGTTCACAGGAAAGCGGCTTTCATAGTAAGGTTCTCGAAGAGAGTGGGTATCTCTAATAATCAGGCTGCAAACCCGTGACAAGCGTGCCTGCCGAGCTTGGGAAGGGCCGGCCCGGCCCACGGAGGGAGCGCGGGGCGGCGGCAGCACCGCCCGGGCCGGGCTGGGCTCCGAACTGCGG